GTTGCCCCAGCAGCCTCTGGCTGCTGTAATTGCAGGATGGAAGACCTGAGCACAAAGAGCTGCTCTTCTTCCTCCTAGGCCTTGTCCCAGTGCAGGTAATGCCCTGTCAGTGCTGGTGCTGCTGCTCCTGGCTCTAGCTGTGCGATTGAGTTGCAGGGATTGATCCCCACCTAAGGACTGCGGTGGTGGGAAGGGGGAGTTAGCAACAGCCAGACTGCTGTGCTTGTTCGGTGGAGGGAGAACTTGTAGTCTCTAGTGCTGTCATCACACTAAATTTAATTTTTAAGAAGAAATAAAATAATCATGACTATGCGATTTTTCTAGCTAGTAATTCACAAGCTTCACTGAGAAAGTCCTCCTGAGAGGTTACAAAAGCTGAACTGCTTCTGTTTTCTGGCTGCGATTATCAGTAATTTTGTATCTATACAGGGATTTGTAGGTGCAGAGGAGGAGCTTTTGTGCAACTTCCATTGTCTGTATCCCACGCATGTTTATCAGTCATTAATTTGCCAACGCAGCAGATTTCTGAAGGGAAATGCATACAAACGGAAGGAGGGGTGGAGGTGGAACCAGGAAAATAACAAGGGAAAAAAGATGGGCTCATTACAGTTGGGGGAGAGGAAATCGATGCACATTTGGAGTGTGCAAATCATTACAACCTTGCCCAAAAATTAGGGATCAAAGGGCTATGCAAAATTTTGCTCACTGATCTGTTTCTGAGATTCATCAAAATAATGACAGAAAAGCAATTTCTTCTTCTCAGCCTTGATCTGTTACAAAACCTGTATGTACATAGCCCTAGAAATATTCCTGTTTCTTGCTTCCTTTTTTAAATAGATCAGTAAGATTATAACTGTTACCTTAAATTTCCACTTGGCAGTTCCATATTATGCATCATCTGAAGGGAGTGTTAGGTTATACAGCTGTGTACTCATCAGTAGGGTTAACATTCCTAGTTATGGGATAAGGATAGAAAAGTGTGCTCAATGAAGAAAAGGAGCAGAATTTGAGTGAAAACCAGAGCTTTTTAATGTTCTCAATTCTGCCATGCAAAAGTCTCTTTCTTTTTTTTTAAGATGCTTCTTCACCAGACTGTGCTCATATGTCAGGTCCCTATGAGGGGGGATTAATTTCCTAATATGAATTGTCTGATCTCAGTTCCCTCTGTTTGGACAGGAGAAAAATTAGCCCTTCCGAGGGACTGTTCTTGTTCACCAAGGCAGGTGGCAGGAGCTGCCTGTTCAGGGCATCTCTCTATATCCGAAATACTCTACTGAGTACAGAAGAAGCCTGAGCAACCCGCCTAGCCCAGATGATACTCTGGTGTCTAACACTAGGTGCTCCTTTGCTGACCACACTCCATTGAATTTAGTTGCTGATGTCAAGTTGGGCACACAGCAGTGTGCAGCTGAGATTCTCTTTTAACGTTTATCCCTGTTGGAGGGAGCTTGGGTCGTAGCCAGCGCATGTGGTAGTATTGCACCAAGGAAGGCAAACCTATTTTTCTTCTAATTAGGCAGAAAGCTACTCTGGTAAACACAGTAACATCTGGAAAACCTGAGACTAAATAGGACAGAGCACAGGGCAGGAGGGGAGAAGTATATGTATTGTCATGCTCTGATGTAAACTACAGGCTGCTTAGGTTAACAGACAGACCCCAGCAAGTTTGCAAACTAGAATGTAAATAAGTATCCATGTACAAGCGAGCATGTTCTTAATTGCTAGATAAAGTGTTTCATTCTCAGGTATAAAGCAAACATAGTATTTCAGCAGTATACCACTGCGTTCCTGTCGTTGGCTGAAATCTGGGGTATGACAACTCCTTTACAGATTGTGCTGCTTTCCAGATGCGCTTGCCACTGCAGCGTCCAGTACCACCTGAACTGTGTGGTTTATCATAGGAGCTCTGCATATACGACAGTAAATAGTTCTGCTTCTGAAGACAAAAAGACTCCCAAGTGCAATGTAAAAAAAAAAAAAAAAAGTGTATTGTAATCTATTTGTATGTATTTATGGTACTTGTAATTTATCAAAGACATAACTTTTCTGTAGATGACTGAAACTGCAGAAGCAGAATTCTTTTTTAAGTAACTGCCTAAAAGTACTTATGGAGAATTTCTTCCAGGGTTTTGGTTCCCCCACACCTTGATGAAATAAAGTGACTGTGAACTGCACTATGTTGGAGTACCTGAAAGTTTAATTTGAGCAGGCTTCTGTGGCTCAGCTGTCCATTAGGCTTGCAGAGGAAAGTACTGCACTCAGCTTCCTATCTGACAAACGCCTCATTTGTATGTTAATGTTGAGTTGTGATTTCCAGGGAAGGCATTCAGTGTGTTGTAAAGGGCCTTACTGGCAGATTGCAGCTAAATTGATGCTCGACTCACTAAATATTTACCCTACACATCCCACTTAATATGTCCAAAACCAGGCACACTGTGAAATCCTGAAACCTGATTCTGTGCTTGTGAAAGTCAGGAAGCTGGTAATGTCAGCACAGAGCAAAGCGAAGCGCTGTGCAAGTCCACCAGCACATGCCAGCACACTTCCAGCCCGCCCTGCAATCTCCCCGCTCTTTCTGTGTTGTCACCCCATACATGGGGGCTTGTCTGGCTGCTCTTACCTCAACACCAGGGCAGTGCTGCAGCTGGCCCCCCACTTTTTCTACCTGCCATTCTCACAGCCCTGCTGACCCTTCATCTTCAGGGCTGCCCATGGCACATAGAGGATGCACAGCTGGGGAGATGACCTCTGTGTCTTCACCTGATCCTTGCCATGTAGTTTACCATTGGGAAAAATGTTTTGCATTAGGACAGCCAAGGTAGTGCTTTTGTGCCCTCACCTTCCCCCATCTCAGACATTCCTAATGTGCTAAAGCTGGCACAGTGGTGAGGGGTAGGTTGGAGACCTCACAGCTCACCTGTTTGTTTTTATTCCCAAGCGTGTTCTCCCAATGAGTTCCAGTGCAGTAACAAGTCGTGCATCTCCATCATCTTCGTGTGTGATGGTGACAATGACTGTGGGGATGGCAGTGATGAAAGAAAATGCTCCCCTCTGACCTGCAACCCCAACGAGTTCCAGTGCAACAACAGTGTGTGCATCCCAGAGATGTGGGTCTGCGATAACCAGCTGGACTGTGAGGATCAGTCGGATGAGTCTGTAGAGAAGTGTGGCTACGATGCCAAGGCCCTCAACACCTGCGCAGCTCATCAGTTCCAGTGCAGCAATGGTGAATGTGTCCACCTGAACTGGAAGTGTGACGGGGACGAAGACTGCAAGGACAAGTCTGATGAGCAGGATTGCCGTGAGTGTCTGCAGGGATAGGGCAGGGCTGAGGGCTCTCCTTAGTGGGGGAGGGGGGCTAGAAGGCTGCTGTGGGCTGTATTTTAAGGCAAGTCTTTGATGTCTATGCAGCAACTGTGTGCCTGACAAGGAGCATTTGTGTCCCAAATGGCATGGCTGGGTGCCCAACCCAGCAGGGTCAGGTATATTCCAGACTCCTTTTCTGCGTTGACCTTGAGGATTCAGAGAGGAGGTGTGTAAGAGCTGTTGGATGGTACTGTGCCTCAGAAGAAACTCGTTTCACTAGAAAGACAAGGAATAGGAAACGGGAAAAATGTTCAAAGCCCTCAGGCTGCATGGTGGGGTCACAGCCTGGAGGTTATTAAGTCCCGGGAAAAAAAAGCCAAAAAAAAAAAAAAAAAAAAACCCTGCCTCTGAAGTTAGAGTATACTGAACAAGGCAGTCAAGAGCAGCACCTCTGAAGAAACCAGTTTGAAATGCACTTTGAGCTTGGCTTGATAAAGGCACAGAGCTAATAAATAATGGATTTCTTTTCAGCTGGCTTTATGCATTTAAAATGGTGTTGTTGGTGTGCATGGTATTTTGAATGTTTTATCCATTTTTAGCCACTAAACTGTTCAAGCTGGTCACTTACCTGAGGAGGGGGAGAGAGAGATACAAGAAAATAAGAGCAAAACGTTCTGCTAAAATATTCATAATCACAAGATTGAAATAAAATAAAATATTTACATAGCTACATATATTTAGCAGCTCTGACATTGGGCCACCTCTGGGGAGGAAGGCAGCAAACAGCTGCAGAAACCAGACATTTTTGCAAAGGTACCTAGGAAAATGTACCACTTTTGCCAGCACCATCTTTTCAAGCCCATGACAATACTGAGTCTGGGCTGGGGAGCTCAGAGCAGCTGTGTGGAAGAGCCCTTCAAGGAGCAGGGGATCAGACTTCTCCCAGGCAGAGAGAGGCAGATGTAAATTCAGTGGCTTTAGCAAGAGGATGATGTAGTAAGTCCTGGACACTACTGTTTGCACTGCAGGAGAGCAGGGGGATGAGCCACAGGTAACCCTGGAGCTGCTGTGCCTTTAAAAGAGACAAGGACTCTTAAAAGAGGTGAGAGCAGAGTAGAAGCCAAATATATTTTGCTAGGAAGAGAGCAGCTTTGACTGATGGGTGCAAGGATATTGTCACTGTTATCCCCCTTCCAACTAGGGGTGGATTAGGTAGGATGTCTTTTCCTTCATCTCCAAGAAGGGTATACAGGAGCTGACAGAGCTCTTGGGCAGCAGGTACCCAGGCAGTACTTCCAGGGTCTGAAGTGTCGCAGGGACAGTGGAGTCAGGAGACAAAGTTGTTTCCTGGCATCCATTTCATTATGAAGTGACTGTAAGAAAGCCAGGCAGGAGCGTGTCCGGTGGAGATGTGCCCTGCTAGCTGGGACAGCCTTTGTTGTTTGGTGCCTGTTTATTCTGAGACCTCCTGCAGACAACCCTGTACTTGTATCCCCTCCGAATCAGGAGGCAGTAGCTAGGCCCACATTACAAATGCAGGTGGAGAACTGGTGTCTGGTGTAGGGGACTCCCAGTAGAACTGATCTCTGTCCCACAGGTTGCGTTCCCTGCAGTGACGGCAGCCTGGCAGGATGGTTGCGTTTAGACAACTCAGGAGAGGGAAAGGTGAGCTCCCTTCTATTTCCAAGTGGTGAAAGAGGGGAGCACTTTACAGATGGTGCTTTCTGACGAAATGTCTCTCAAATTTCAATCCCTGTTTTTCATCTTGAAAGGAATTTTTTTTAAGTCTTTTTCAGGCACCATTTACTTTGACACTGGGCTGGGTGAAAGGAGTGGGACTGTGCCCATGCACCTTGCTGAGGCAGAGGGAGAACTCTGTTCCCCAGCTTCTTTCCTTGATCTGGCAGACACCAGCAACATTCAGCTGAGCTCAAACGGCCGAGAAGTGAGGCCCAAAAGGAGCACGGCTCTGACAGCATCCCTCAGCTAGAGAGCAGCTTCACCAAGTAGCACCTCCAGATACACCTGTGGGGAAGAGAACGCAGCTGGACACCGCTGCAGCACAGCACAGTGCTGACAACCAGTGGAGGAAGGAGGAAATGTGGCAGAAGTGACTTGAAACAATTATACCTCTGACTAGCGGAGATCTAGCACCCGAGGGTTATTTCCAGTAAATCTCAGTACAGCACAATGTGCAGGTTATCTACCCAGGAGAAACAAGCATGTGAGCTGCTTCTGCCATTTTCAGTCCTGTGGGCCATTCAAACCCACATGTTTTAGCTACTGCAGTGCTCCTCTGTACAGGGTTCTGCCCTTGACACCTGAGCAAACTGGGAGTCACCCCAGTGCCACAGAGGTGCAAAAGCCTGCTGCTGTTTACACCACAGGAAGGGGTGTCTCTAAGGTAGTAGCCAGGAGAGGACTTGCGGCACCGGGTGCTCGTGTAGTTGATGGGTCGACCAGGTCAGAGTCAAAACTAATGTTGCTTTCCCACCCTAAATGCAGCTGTTGCTTGGGTGCACATGCTTGCAGTAAGAAAGTGACACTTCAGAGCTCTGGAAACTCAGCATCACTTTCATCCATTGGACTGAAGAGTTTAGGGATTGGCCTTTATTATTTTTTTTTTTCCCCTCCAGAAATTCTCTTTTTGAGATCAGTATCGTGTGGCACACAGCAAGTTACGGATGTATAACACTGCTCCATCCCCTCAGCAACAGGGATGGCACAAGTACCACTAGGTTTGACTTGATTAAAACTGCAGATACTAGCACTATGTCTTCTCTTGCAAGTGGAAATCTTACAGGGTTTGCATTGTATAAAATAGAGGGATGGGAGCTAATGCTTTCAAAAAATGTCATGAGGCCATCACCAGTCATTTGTTATAATCATTTTGGGGTGATAAACGAGTAGAGCAGAAATGAAGGGTGACAATTGGTGAACAGGTTTTGGCAGCAAGACAGCAAATAAATAGGAGGGAACCAGTCATTTCAGGAAAGCTGTGTGACAACATTGAGCGGTTGGGTTTTTTCCCCTAGAATATACATTCAAATATGTATGTATATTTATAAAATGAACATTAGGTTAGGTTTATTAGTCTCCAAATCTGGAATGGTTATATTTTAAAATGTTCCTTGCAACTCACATTAGGGCATCCAGGAGGGAGAATAAATAATGCTTACAACTGACAGCTAGAAAACAGATACCTTGAGACCTGACCTCACACTTTTGTGCCTCTGTATCCCCATCTATAAAATGGGAGGATTGATGCATTTTGCAAATGCTGGGGTTTTCTTGAGATTAAGTTCATTTTAGGGTGTGTGTGGGGTGGGGAACAGAAGGTGGAAGAAACACAGGCTCAGACTTGGAATCTGGAATATATCTGCTGAATTTGAGCAATACAGCTTTGTGGCCAGTATTTGCAAATGGGAAGTGTGTCTGTTTGAGTGTGCCTGTTAATTTACCAGGGCTTTGGTAAACTGTTTCATATTTGATTTGCAGAGCAGAGGAGATGGCTATAAAGCTGCTGAGATTTCACTGATTTAAACCCTCCAAAATAGCACAGCAATTTTCTGAACATCTTGTGCAAATAAACCGCACAGCTCTTCCCTCTTCTTGGGATATTGCTCTGCTTTGGGAATGGCGCTGATGGCAACCTTCTGTCAGCTCTGTCAGTGGTGCCGAGATGGGTTTGTGTCCTGGCTGTAGGAGAACAATGTTCCTGGCCCTCTCCCCTCAAACTTATACTCTCCGTGACAGGTATAAACATAGCATTCTCTCTCGTCCTACTGAAAAATGCACCAAAACCCAGAAATGCTGTATATGCATTTTAACATCTTTGTGATCAGAGTTGTCACTGTATCTGCTCTTTTTAGATGTCTGTTAAGAGACTCAGGGGCCATTCCTCAAAGGTCTGAACTTCCACAGCTCTGCTGGCGTGAGAAGTGAGCCAGGAAACCAAGCCTGATCTCCAAACTTCTGTCTCTTCTTGAAGCAAAAGCTTTGTGCAGTGATGTTGTACAGTCCCACATCTGTGTTTGGCAGTCCCTGTAGCAACCAAGTGAAGAGCTGTGCTGTCATTTTTCTCTCAGTCTTGTGGTGCTTGTGCAACATTGTCTTTGCAGTTCCTGCAAAATTCTCCTTCATTTTAATTTGTTTCAGGATTAGAAACCTTTCTATTCCTAGCATCTAGCTATAGCAGCTTTTTAGAAGAGTTTTGAAGATTACAGTTGAGGACAATTAGTAGGCTTTGTAACAGCTGCCTTCCGAATCTGTAGCTGTTGTCATGCAGATTTACTTGATAAACTGGAGACCTGTTCCTGTTCCAGGAAAAGACAAGACCCCCGTTGGCTTTTCATTCCATACTACACTTTTGTGAGGGGTTAATAGTTAAAGTCAGAAATGGGAGACCATCCTTTCCTGTCTCCACATATAGAAATTGCTACAGAAAAGATGAAGTAAACTGTTTTTCATGTTGGGGATGAAGACAAGAAATAATTCTGGCAAGGGAATTTTCAGCTAGACAGTATGAAAAGCTTTGCAATGGCCAAGGTTTAGCTTGGAAGAGATCAGGATTGCCTAGTGTGAAGGTGGTCTCTCCATCATCAGGGCTTCTCCAGGCCAGTGGCTGTCCATGGCAGGAATAGTTCAAGCAGGAGTGCCTCCACCTCCCTGCAGTCGCTCTCAGTGCCACTTCCAGATCTGTGGTCTATGATTCTCCCAGACCCACAGCTTTGTTTGTTCCTTTCCTTCATTTTTCTCCATTTAGAGCACCAGTTCCCACATGCTTAGTTCGGAGCTGCTGTCCCAGATGTCCCACTGAGGTTTCCCATTTCTGCGCCTGGGTTTATTATCTGAAATGTGGCAACACAGCTGGTCCCATAACTGTGCTTATTGCTTGGGATTTTTTTCTTGCTTTTCAGCTTTTTATGAACATAATGCATATGGCTATCCTCTCCAAGGAGCAGTGCTATTTGTAAACTTTCCTCATGTGAATACTGTGTAATTCTAAAGGCAGGATTTCTCCCTTTTGCCTGCTGAAGATGCACTGGAGCTCAATCCAATGAAGCAGTCACAAATCCGGATCCTGCATCCTGTGGGATGCAGTCACCAATAATGCTGACTGAGCCTTTGTGCAGCTGATACTTTATTGTATCAATGCTAGCTCACCTCACATCTGTGGCTCTTCCTGGGTTATCTGAAAGTAGTAATTTTCGTATTAGAACCAGTTTGTCAAATTGTCAAGGAAGTTCTGCCACGTAGTTCTCGCCTCCCATGTAGTAACATCAGTGCTGACCTCCTCTAGCTATTCAGAGGCAGTGATTTTCTGTCATACTGTACCAGGACGCAATCAGCAAGACGGAAAGGCTAGAATCAAGAGCTCTACAGGGTGTGCTGCCTTAATAGGATTTTAAGAAAACAGCTGTAAGACAGTCCCCTCAGAAGTAAGCTGCATAACATGTCCCAGGAATGAGGAGCTTGTTTTGCCAATGAACTACAGGCTGCAGCCTTTTGCTGGCTAGCGAGTGCCTGTATCCTTTGTCAGCACAAGTCTGGTCCCGGCTAAGGCAGTCTCTCACTTAATGTAACCTCAGGGAGGGAAACATAACTGCTTTTAGTATGGTCAGTGCAGCTGTCTGATTTATTTTTTCTCCAACTTTGCTGTTCATCAGATCTGTTCTGAGTCTGTAATAATCTGACCTGGGCAAATGAGCTTCAGGCTTGAAACCTGGCCTGACACTGTGGAGATGTTTTTGGCCTATAACCCCAGGAAACGCCATGCCACAGTGCAGTGGAGCTCTTCTGCCTTCCAGTGGTCTGTTACCTCAAGGGCATTTAGTAACCCAAATGATCATGTCTATGTTGCTAACTTCATCCCTGGTGTGACTACATTGGCTTTGGCAGAGAGAGTCAATACATGCCTCTTGCCCGTGCCCTTAGCCTGAACATGTTTTGAAATATATCTTAAATACAATTTTTTCTGAAGGAAGGGGGAGCCTTTGCCTACCCAGTACCACTCTGCACTCCTAGGTGGAAAGCAGCCTGTCCACTCACATGGACTGAAGACCCCAGAGGGGCTCCACTGCCGCTAGTTTTGCTGCCTGCTTGTTTTCTTGTGTCTCATCCAAGAAGCTTCACTGCCTGCAGTGATTCTGTTTTGACTAGATCTGTTCATATGGGCTTTGGGGCTCTTTTCCCAAGGACGTAGAGAGTGATCTGGGATGGCAGAGGGGCACAGGAGGACAGTGGCTGAGGCAGCTGCTGCGTCTGTTGCTTTTGTGGAAGAAGCCAATGTTCTGTGACGTTTTCTGACAGAGGGTGCAAAATTCCAGCAGTGTCAGCGGTATGCGGCGGGCTTTGGGGCTCTTTTCCCAAGGACGTAGAGAGTGATCTGGGATGGCAGAGGGGCACAGGAGGACAGAGGCTGAGGCAGCTGCTGCGTCTGTTGCTTTTGTGGAAGAAGCCAATGTTCTGTGACGTTTTCTGACAGAGGGTGCAAAATTCCAGCAGTGTCAGAGGTACGTGGCTAAAAGGTACCACACAAAAGATTCAAGTCCTGTGTGGCTAATGCTTGAATGTGTTGTCTTAAAGCTCTGGTGACCTGCCAGCCAGATGAATTCCAGTGTGGTGATGGGACCTGTATCCACGGAGCAAAGCAGTGTGACAAGGTGCACGACTGTCCTGACAACAGTGACGAGGCAGGCTGTGTCCAAGGTAGGTACAGACAGCTCTGCACTCCTCATGCTCTGTGGTGTAAGCCTGCAAGAGCTGCATGGCCACTGGAAAGGGAAGAGGGCTGTGCTCCTCTGGGCCATGGCAGGCTGCTTCCTGTAGAGAGTTTTAAGCCATTCTGGCAGTGGGGTTGCTTGGGAGAGATGATTGTGCTGCCCAGGCAGACTGCATGACTTGGAAAGTTCGTTGCATGATACTCGAGCTTGATGTTCATTTGCTTAATCCCATCCCATTTCTGCTAATGACACCCTCTTGAAGCTTTATGTCAGGCTTTTTTGTTGTCATGAGCCTCGTCTAACTTAGTTGCTTTCCTCTCTTGCCCGACATGACAGAGTCAGCATGTGAAAGTCCCAGCAAGTTTCAGTGTAAGAGTGGAGAGTGCATTGACGGAGGCAAAGTGTGCGATTCATATAGAGACTGCAGGGACTGGTCTGACGAGCCTATGAAAGAATGTGGTACAGTACTTGCCTTCTACATGTTGCTCCTGTTGTAACTTCTTCCCCTCTCCTCCATCTGGTGCTCACAGCTTTGAGTGTAACCACATGTAGCTGCTAATGCTATTTCTCACTCTGCTCCTCTTTCCTTGCCTTTATTCTCTCATCACCCTTCATAGGAATATAATTAGTAGCCTAGTCTGATCATCTGTAAGTTTGAACTGTGCCCTTCTCAGCTCAGCTTTTATTCTTGGACGGATGTATGAACTGAGCACGGGACTAAGAACCAGGAATTCCCTCCCTCCCCAGATACTAGTGTCCTCCACAGCACAGACCAGTTTATTTAGCCTCATTGTCTAAATTATCTTTGAACTGTAAGATGATCATAAAAAATTAGCATTGGGAACGTGCTTTGAAGGTGAAAACACACAGAGTGACAGCAACCACCAAGAGATTACTTCAGCCATTTCTGGGTTTTACACGTTGTTGCTGCTTCCCTTGGAAATGACAGCAGGTTGCTCTCTGGAGCATCCTGCCAGCTCTGGGCTAGCAAGAATGCACAAGCCATGAGAGCTAGGTCTGTATCAGGGCTGTCAGAGTCAGCAGAATGAAAAGCCCAGGCTAGAGAGCTCTGCTGCTCTCTGTAGGGCAGCCTCTCTCTCACCTTTCCCACCCGGCATTGTGGGCACCAGCCCCAATTTGGAGCATTGCTCAAACACATTTGTTCTTTAACCCAGTGCAGAAATGTATCAGACATACATCCCTTTCCATGACATCATGGAGCAGCAGTAGCATGGAGCTCAGTGCCTGCCTCTTAAATAACTCACATTCAGGAAGAACTGCCAGTCTCTCCTCTGTATTAGACAAGAAGTGTGTGTGCATGCCTAGTGAGGATGCTCTTACCTTGTGCTTTCAGTATGCCCTTGCTTTCTTCCACACTAATCCACATCTCCCTGTCTTTCTGAGTGGGTGTTGCAACTTGTCTGTCTGTGGAGGTCTCCCAACAAAACTGGCAGCCCGGTTTGTCTTGGGAGACTGGGCAGTGGCCGTGGCACAGCTGGGCTTGGTGCTCAGCCTTACAGTGGTGCCATGGCTGACTTGGTGCGGCCCCAGGCTGACAGTGAAGCGTCGTTTGAGTTAGGAAGCTGAACAGAGAATAGCCCCCAAAGGAAACACGTTTCTTCAAGAGTGCAGAATGATGTGGATTGCTGTGAATGTAAAGTCCACGCACAAGTAATCCACACAGAAGGCAGGAGGTGCAGGACATGCTCCTCATCTTGGTGTGTCTGTCTAGCTGTGTGCTAGTCGCTGGTAGCGGCCTCTGAGATTCCCAAAAAAAGTACCACAGAAGACAGAACATTACTTGTCTTATTTTAGGCAGGCAGTGAATATACTGCTGAAGTTTGGGTAATGGGCAGCAGCTGCCCAGCAAAAAAAGAATAGGCTAAAGTCTCTGCCTGGCTCCTCCTCAGCTCCTGTTGAGAAGTGCAATTTTGTGGATTCCACAAAGTACCTCTGAAACCATGGGAATCACCTGAGTGAGGGTTTGCTTGTTAGTTGAAACAGCCTTTGTAGTATTTTGCAGAGAGCAGTTGTGCATGTTTATGACCCAATTTGCTATGGGCCTATGCACATGTAGGAATAGGTAATATCCATTAATAAACATCACTGAGTGACAACACACAATGTGACTCTGTGGACACCTTCTTGGAGCCTAGTGAACTTGCTCTATTAAAAATGTATTGATATCTACATGTGTGTGTCTTTGATAGGAAAGTGAAAGCATCCCAGAGCTGAGATGGGGTTCCTTCTGGCATGGTATTTTCCTAGTCTTACTGACTTAATTGGCTTGTGGTTGTTTTCATTTTCTTCCAAGACCACTGGTTTAATGGCTCTGCTCTACTGCTCACCTGCAGTGTGCAAGGAAGCAAGAAGTAAAAGATAAATGAAAAATTTGCTTTTAAATTGCATTATAGATTGAATCAAATCAGTTTTGCTTGTTCTAGTAAGCCCACTATCCCTGAAATCCCACAGCTTCTCTTCAGCAGTCTTACTCAGGCAGAGGACTTTTTCTTCACCTTATGGAGGTTAATTACAACAACAACAAATGTTATTTCTGACAGAAAACCAGCTTTCCTCAACCTCTCATTCAGTTCTATTTACAAGGACCCATTTAGTCTGTTTTTCATTTCAGCACTTGAAAGCAGGATCAGAGAGGTGGCCTTGGATTAGACAGGGACCCAGGAGAGGATGGGGGCTGTTGCTTCATAAATTGCACACTCGGGCTGATGCAGGCTGCCAGCAGAGACTGTCGTGTGGGAGGTGTTTGTGGGAGGGCTGTATCTCGGTGCTAATGGAATATCTCTGACAGACTGTATTGCGGTATTTTCTGGAATTTTCACATAGATCATTCCTTGGAGCTAGATGGGAAAATAGTACAGTATTTCAAAATAGCTGGCCCCCAGGAGATGAAAATCCCCCAGCATGAATTATTAAAGTTCAGAGAGACTGTTCAGAAAAGTCAACATGAACCAGCACATGGGGAAGAAGGAGTCTCCTGGAGAGAGCCCTTGGGTCCCTTGGAAGTTTCTCACATGTGGCAGAACATGCTCAAAGCAGCAGCTCTCTGATGGGATGAGATGCAGAGATTCACATATGCGGTATCCCCAGGGTTCTCTGTTCATTTAACCACTAGCTTTCAGTCCAAATTATCCTATGGTGTTGGTGTGGAATAATACAGAGTAAGAAAGTGATATGGTGGTGGCTTCCTATCTGTGAAGTCACTCGTGCTCTATGGGGGAAGCTCGTGGCTACCAAAAGCTGATAGATATAGGAAAATTTCTGAGGACCTCTCTTAATTTTATTCATTCTTGCAACTGAAAGTCCCCCTTTATCATAGATAATCTGTGTATCCCTTCCAGGTATTAATGAATGCTCTATGAACAACGGTGGTTGCTCACACATATGCAAAGACTTGAAGATTGGTTATGAATGTGAATGCCCGCTCGGGTACAAGCTTCTGGATAAAAAAACGTGTGGAGGTAATTTACATGCAAACAGCAGTCCCTTGTGTTTCACTATACAGAGACGTGATTATATTCACTTCAGCATTGCTCCATCACAGATGGTTTGATTTCAAGTTATTGATGGGTTTCAAACACTCCTTTCAGACATAGATGAATGTGAGAATCCAGACGCTTGTAGCCAGATCTGCATTAATTACAAGGGGGACTACAAATGCGAGTGCTACGAGGGATATGAGATGGACACCCTGTCCAAGAACTGCAAAGCTGTAGGTAAGACAACACCACAGGCATTTAAACTCTGCTTGCTCAACATCACAACTCTGATAAGAAAACACGCTTGCAGGGCTGAGGCTAGGGGAGCAGAAACAAAAGGAAACTAGCAAAGCAAGCTAGCAAAGACATTTCATTTCGAGCAGCGCAGAACTGCTGCAGTGATAGCAGATGCGTCTCTAGGCAAGAACTACTGATCATGCAGATCAGAATATTTTAAGTGTACAGAGCAAGATTACAGTCACTAGTTGGCTGTTTGAAGCTGAAACTAGAAAAGAAAGTCTCTTGACAGGTGTTATTAAAAACAGTGCTGCAGAAACATTTAGTGGTAGTAGTATTGAAAGGAAGAAAACATCCCAATTAAAGCACGGCAGGTTAGCCACCTCTCCACCCTCCCAGCCTCTTACGCAGATACCAACATGAACAGCAGCAGCTTGCTCGACCCTATTGCAGAAATGAATGTTAATGTCAGAGGGATAGAAAGTCGAGTTGTGCAAGATTGAGCATTAGCTATGCTGGGGGTTCCTTTAATGGAAATAGTGGGTCTCCTGGGGAAGGGTGAGTTACCTGCAATACAAAATTGCTTCTCTAGTGTTATCCTGCACATCCACATGCACTCTTTCTTCCCAGGTTCTGTATGGTATGCAGAGTGTCCTGCTGTCCTCATAAAGTCTGTTAGTCTCACACCTGCAGTGAGTTAGGACTGTCCCAAATCCTGGGACACTGATTTGCTTGTTGGTTAGAAAATTCTGTTGTGCCCGAGAGCCTCTGCTGGGAGCCCTGCAGCACGACATATTCCAGAGCTAGAACCTTGTCCCAGTTCTTCTCTCACTATCATATTCCTCAATCCCCTTTTGTCCTTCCCAGTGCAAAGATGCTCTTTGCTAGAATCTTCTACTGGCTACTGTTGGAGACAAACCAGTCTAACCCACTAAAGCTAGTTCTGACCCTCCCATCCTGTTCCTGCCTCAAACAGGGAGGTGCGCAAAGAGCAAACTAAACCTTTAGCTGTTAGACTCACAGCTTATTTTAGTGACACTTAAGAACACAGAGAATCACGTGCTCCGCTACTGGCAGAGGGCAAGGATGGGCACCTCTTGGTCTGAGCCTAGAGACGTAGGTGTCTGCCTCCTACAGTATGAAACCAGCCTCTGTGGTGCCTACTGGGAATAACCATGGAGGCTAAGGTACTGGCTGTGGTCTTCTCAGCAAAATAACTATTGGGATTCTATGTGTCTTGCTCTCCTGTCTTTTAAAAAATTCAGGTCAACTTTATGGTTTTTCAGAGGCTCTGGCCTGTGCTGGCCTGAGATCACAACTGCAGTAGCAATATCACCAGCACCTAGGCTGCAGGCTCTGGCTCCACAAAAAAGAGATGTGAGCTGCCTGAGCCTGAGTGCTCAGATGGACTGTGTGAGTTCTGCATGTATGTGGCAGTCTAAAATTCCTCCCTGGCAACCAGTCCTGGCTTTGCTGGATTCAATGTGGCTCTATCGTGCCTCAGGTATGGCTGCCTTCCTTCCCTTCAGCCAGCCCAGAGGGCTGTCTCTTCCTTGTCCTGGCCATGAGTGACCAAAATCTGGCCCATGTATTTTGTATCTAAAATGTGTAATTGAAGGTGAGGATGTTCCCCAGAGTTTTGCTTGGGCAGACCAAGAGCCAGTGTGCATCTAGTGACCACAGAGGTGCTGCAGTCCTCCGTGTCTGCATGTGATGGCTCTGCCTCTGGAAGCTGTTTACACTTGCTTCTGGTGTGGCATAAAGCTTTCTTACAAAGGAGAGCTGATAGTTCTGTTGTTGTTTGAGAAATGAAAGCTGAATCCAGCCTTTGGGTCAGCTGCTGAAATGACAAATGCGCTTATTTTCTGTGGTAGGCAAGAGTCCATACCTGATCTTCACCAATCGCCATGAGGTCCGTAAGATAGACCTGGTGAAAAGGGACTACTCTCGCATCATTCCCATGCTGAAGAATGTCGTGGCACTGGACGTGGAGGTGTCAACAAACAGAATATATTGGTGTGATTTGTTCTACCGAAAAATCTACAGGTAAGGGGCAAGAGAGGATGTGTGTTTTGGTACCTTTCCAAAGCTGTGGTTCAATCTGTACACCTTAAGGACAATCTGCAGAGAACAATGCAAGGTACAGTGAACCCAAGGGCATTTCTTCCCTTACTGGATTACCTGTTGTGGCCCAGACTTTGTAAGGTTTTTTTTTAGGAATTGATAAAGAAATGGGGGGCTTGTGCAGTTACCTGGTTTGATAATACAGGAAGGCTTTTCATCAATAATAGATCCTGCTGCATTTGTACAATTACACGTAGACTCTTGTTTACTGAATCATATTGCTAAGCGATACTGCGTGAGACTGCTGCTGTGCTGTGTGCTTGCTGTATGTGAAACCACAAAGGACTTAGCATCTGAAAGCACAAAGGAGGCAAATGGTGGGAGCAAGAAAGTAGCAACATAGATACTAGCTGCCCACTGCAGTCTCTGGTAGGCTGGATTTAAATTCACAGCACTTGACCACAGTGCACGTTCTGCAATTCTCATTCTCTCTCCTCCTTCAGCTGTTTTTATGGCATCCATCACAGTATTATGTACCGGGGCTTGTGAGTGTGCCTAGTCAAAAATGCATTTAATTTATGTGCTGAAAATCCCCCATGTATATTCTGATTTGCATAGCTATTGCGCCCTATTGCAGCTTCTACAGTGATTTGTTCTGGATTTTAGCTAATGATCAGGCAAAGGTTGATTGGTTTCAGTGTGTGGGAGCCAAGCCAGGGTTTCTGCAGGCTGCGGTAGCTCCCATGCCATTGGCAGGGAAATTTGCCCAGGCTATGCTGAGTATTAAGCACTTGAGTAGATAGGCAGGTACCCTGGGCGGGCCTGTGGGGCTCTCAAATCAGTGACATGGTTCAGAGGAAAGCTGGCTGCCTTCACTGTGGCCGATTCTGTAGGCACAGGCAGGGGTGGGTAAGGGCTTCGTATTCTTACACAGAGAATTATTCAAGATGCACTGCTCTGCTCCTTCTGCAGCTCTCTGGCAGTGAATGCCCTGGGGTGCTGGGGGCCACCGAACAGTGTTCGTACCCTGAACATGGCTATACCAGGCCTTTTTCTTTTCCCAAACAGCAGAATTCTTCTCTTTCTTACTCCTGCTTGCATAAGCTTTGTTGTAAGTCCCACCTTTTCTGCAGAGCAAGCTGTGCAATTACAACTTTGTAACAATTAATGTTCCTGTTTAAGATACTGCTACTTTCACTAAAATCAAACACTTCTAAACAAAAGGCTGCCATGTCCTTCCAGCAGAGAACAGGACTCCGCCTGCAGGAGTCCCCTGGGGAAAACCAAGGTGAAAACTATAGTACAGGAAGTAATTGCTGGCAAGAGAGAGAACCCATCTTTCTTAACGCTCACCTCACTTGCCTTTCCAGATCCTCGCCTATGGAGGTGATGTCCCCTTCAGGGTGTCAGAAGATATTTTACAATATTTAGTTATTGGGAGAATTGATATGTCATCTGTATTTCAGCCCTTCCATTCTGAAAACCGCAGGAACCTCTCTCAGCTTCCCCACCAGTACAGCCAGTCACATTGAGGGTACAGCGCAGCAGCTCACCGCAGTGGTGGTTGGGAAGTATTGAACACGACTGTTTCACTGGGGAGGAATTAACTGACCTGGTGTTGTGTAGTTAGAACATGTGATGCTCATCAGACTAAAATAGCAAAGTCTTGGGAACATTGTCAGGTGCCCTGCAGAACCCCCATGATACCGTTCATTTGGTGTTGGGTCAGAGAGAAACCAAAACCATTCCTTGCAGTGAAGATGAAGTAGCGTGCAATTAATCCAGGCTGACTCTGCATAGCCATTCCCACCTGGGCCGCAGACCATAAGAGTGTCGAGAATTCCTGGGTTTAGACATTTCTTTCCAAGTCTCTAATCTGATACTTGAGAGGTCAGCTCCCGTACAACTTACCTTCCCGTTCCATGACCAAAGGCAGGACAGCCAGCAAACAGGAGATGTAAACCATCTTGCAGTTTCAAATGTTCAGTGGGAGCAGAAACTTTCTGCTGTTTTGTAACTTTTTTGAGCTGTACCAAGTTACTCTAAGAGCCAGACTAAGCTCTTAGAAACACTGATGCAAACTCAGAATAACTCCATTTGAGTTCACTCAGTGCAATTGATATTGGTGCAGCAGCAACAGAGCAGAATCAGCCTCTGTGCTTGCAGGAGCAACACTGAGTTATTTATGAAACACCCATGTGGAGTTTGCTGCCTTTCATTAGTGTTTTGAAAGATTTTGAGGCTGCCACTGATATTTAGTGAACATTTTCTTTGTATCTAATGAGATCACTTGCCAGATTAGTACAGCTCTATGAATTCCTTTGATGAATCATAATTGGTTACAGAGGACCTAATTCTACAACACATTTAAGCATGTTTATTTGCACGCTAAGTTCAAGTGTTCAGCAGAGCACTGGAGATTATATTTCTAATGTCCATAAATCCCATGAATTGGTGCTGTTGAAGTTAATGTGCCTGAAGTCAAATGTTTTGCTGAATTGTGCAGTTATAGCGGGAAGCAGGTAGAAAAATAAAATTACAGTTCTCTATTCTGGAAATGCCTGCTGTCCAGATAGAGGGAATAAGTACAGGTTGTAGGAGAAAGTGGAAGGTTGCAGCATGCAGCCATAAGGGTTTCTATGTCAATCATGGTGCCCCATGTGCACTTTCTTTCCATGGGGTTGCAGTGGTGCTACCTGGCATTCAGCTGTCCGAGGTCCAACCCCACGCGCGTGTGCAGGACCCTCTCCATGCCGTGTCTCAATCCAGTGACGAGTCCTGTCTTTGCAGTGCCTACATAGACAAAGCGAGTGACACAGCTGAGCAGATGATTTTGATAGACAGCCAGCTGAACTCTCCCGAAGGACTGGCAATAGACTGGGTTCATAAGAATATCTACTGGACGGATTCTGGCAACAAGACCATCTCAGTGGCCACTGCAGATGGAAGCAGGAGGAGGACGCTTTTCAACAGTGACCTCAGTGAGCCAAGAGCCATTGCTGTTGATCCCACACAGAGGTAGGTGTGAAGACCACAAACACTCCCTTGGCCAACAGAGACGTTTCAGTCTTCTTTCTGCCTCTCTTACTAACTTGTGGGTGGTTCTCATCTTATTGAGACTTCAGATGCCCTTTAAGATAGATCCATTGAACTTAAATGGGACTGCTGAGGTGGTTCAACTAACTCTTTGCAAGGCCACTGCTGTTAAAGTTCTGAAAATAATAGTCAGGTCACGTGTTTGATGGGCCTGAGCTAGTCCAGGAACATAGGTTGTGCTGGGAAATGAAGTAGTCTGTCTGACATGTGTGTATGGGCTACTTGGGTAAGTGTGAAGTCCACATACCTAGCAGACACGCCGGAATAGTCTGCGTGGGGTGACTAAGGTGAGATTTTGCATTCTGGTGCAAGTTTTGTGGCAGAGTAGCCTGTGGGACAGCGTGCAGCTCCCCTAGGCGCATATCAGAATTAACTGCAGTGGCTGAGGGGCTTTGCTATAATAGAGAGAGAACAAGACACCTCCTACTCCAATTAGAAGTGCAGATTTCTTACACTAGAGTCCAATTTACTCTTTCCTTGCATCTTTCCCTTTCAGGTTCATGTACTGGTCTGACTGGGGAGACAAAGCTAAGATCGAGAAAGCTGGCCTGAATGGCATGGGGCGGCAAGTGCTGGTGACTGACAACATTGAGTGGCCAAATGGCATCACGCTTGGTAAGAGCCCAGGTTAGAGCTACAGCATCCACTGTGGCTGACGTAAATTTATTTTTATTGTAAAAGAGGAAAAGAACATTGTAAATGCACAAAGGCACCTGCACACAAAAATCCTGGAAATACTCTTGTCGCTTACTGTTCACCAACAGGAGCAATTTTATTTCAGTCGCAAGCAGCAAGTAGGCAGCAAGTCTTGCTACAGTCAGAACCTCGTACTGCGGGAGCTTTGAGTTGCTTTTAGTTGTGCCTTAAGAAAAAGGGAAATTTTGGGGGAGGATGCAGAGCTGCAATGACCCTTTGGAAATCCAGAAAGCATCAGAAAGTCCTTGGTACTAGTGCCTCTGGACGCGGACCTGTCTCAGAAGCAGTGTTGAGGTACTTTGTCGCACTGATTAATGCACAGTACCTCGAGGAAAGAGGCGCAGCCCACAGCACCCATTCCCTGTCGACATGCCTGCCCGGCCAACCTGGGTGGGAGTAGCAAGATGGAACCTATCTTGGCTCATATCCTGCTGGCCTGCGGAGGGCTGTGGTCATTCTCACTGCCACGCTGAGTTGCAGGAGTGGAAAGGAGGTTTCCTGCCCTCATGGGGCAACAGGGGACACCCTCCTCTGGAGCTACAGCCGTATGCGTTTAATGCCATGCAGATGTGAGGTTCTCTGCTTGGTTTTATATTTGAAAACTCTGGCCATGACAAGGATGTAGGAGAAAATGCCGCTACCATTGCATAGTGTTCAAGTGCTACCGCTGTGAACAAATAATGTTATCCTTTAGTAATTAAGAAATTAATTAATTAGAGTTGTTTAATTACAGAACTTGTTTTGTGTTGGCACTCATCCACTTGCATTCTGTTTAGTGAATCTCATCCAAAACGAGTGAATTTGCTCCAGGAAGAGAAATTCAGTGCTTAGCATTCTAAATAGCATTGGATCCTTCCCCACTCTTATCGGCACCCTCCCCAAAACCTGGCTGGTTGTGGTAGGAGTGCCCCCCCACCAGTGTTCCCCCAGCCTGCAGCACAAGGAGGATTTCTGGACCCAGGATTCTTCTTCGCTGAAAATGTGTGAAATCACACAGCTCCTTCTGAGAAGTGTTTCATTTGAATCACAGTGGTGGTTCTCCAGAGGCCAGGGACTGAATAGCCTTGAGAGGGATGAAGCTTCTCGCTCAGGCACTGATGGAGTGTCTCTGGGAAGCCCCAACTGCTGCTGGCCTGCTCCTCCTGGTAACGAAAAGAACCTCATTGTACAATGCTGTCAGTCAGGCATTCCCTCCCCACACGCACACCAGTATGTTCCTCCTTTTTAATCTTTTTTTATAGGGTCTTATCCCAGCATATCTGGGCACTGATTCAAAATCAGAACTAGTGTTAAAAAAAAAAAAAAAAAAAAAAAAAAGGCCCAATAATAAAGAGATTAGTCATGCTGCCAGCAGGAAAAACATGCTGGGCAAGAGAAAGAGAGTTGCAGGAGCTGTGTGTAATTTTGCTTCATTGTGTTTCACTTCTCAGATTTGCTGAATCAGCGTCTCTACTGGGTAGACTCCAAATTGCATTCACTGTCCTGCATTGATTTCAATGGCAGCAACAGAAAAGTTCTGATCTCTTCTGTGGACAATCTGAGCCATCCTTTCGGCTTAGCAGTGTTTGAGGTAAGAGTCGAAAACGGATGCAGAACAGACTGGAGTCTGCAAGAGGTCTCAAAGCTCTTCTTGATTAAAAGCTCTGCCTTTTGCATAGCACAGAAAGCTCAGTG